GAAGTGCTCATCTATTGCTAGTTTGTTAAGGTTTTGTTCATTTGTTTTAAATCACGAAAGGGCTTTAGGTTTTGTCAAATGCCTTTTTATATGTTTGATGAGTTGATTATGTGATAGTTCAGAGCTCTTGTTTGAAGAAAAATCCTATTCAGCCAGGCTTGGGGAAAAAAAAAAAGGTAAAGGGAGGGGACATTGATTCTCTTAACTGGAAGTCCTCCCAGGGTGTCTTATTTTCAGGCACCACATGCTCCATAGATAGAGGGACTCAGATGCTGTCATCCAGATTTGCCCTCTTCTCCCTCTGTTCCTCTGACCTTCTACGTTCTTCTTTCTCTTATATGACAGTCATGGTTACGTCCCTTGTGATGGCAAAATTGCTGCCAGCCCCTGAAGGCAAACATCCTCAAGATCCTAGAAAGAGATAGCTTCTAATTTCTTCTGTCTTTCCCTAGCCCCAGAGGAAGTCCCAGAATCATCTCTGGTTGGGCCAGCTGCCTATTCTGGAACTGTCATTGAGGACAAAGTATGTGAAACTCCAACCAGGCCTGTATCACATACCTGTCCTGAAGCTGATCATCTCCACCCAAATTACATGAAAGACATGGAGAAGGGGCTTTCAGCAGTGGAAGTGTACAGGGTGAATGCTAAATTCTCAAAAATAATGTCCAGAATACTTTGTACAGTGCAATAATCCATGAGTATACAAAGCATTTCATCTGAATGCCCTCTCTTGGTGATAGTAGCAGATGGATATGAACTAAAACTCTTTCTAGAGTTTCCTGGCTCATCGTTCCAAGTAGAGAGTTTGACAGGCGTGTTCCATTTTTTGTAGAGGACAATAAAATGGGGGGTTGGGGTTGGACAGGAAGCTTAGTCCATTGACAAACTGAGGGAACAGGGAAGAATACAAACATATAGTTTCATCAGTCCTTTTATTACCATGAATATTTTTGTCATTCCAGGGTAACTGCAGATTTACTGCAGACAGGGAGTAGATCAGTAGCCACTTCATCATCCTGTCTCTTTTTCTCTGCAGGTTGTCATTCCTAGGATGCACCCTCAGCATTGAACATTAAAAAGAACAGTGTGTCTCAACATTAATCAGACTCTCAATTTACAGCATGTAGTCTTATCTAATGGGAATAGGGCTTTTTATCTTGAAACTCCAGAAATCTTGTGCTGTTAGAAACTTGGTCAGTTTCTGTAGTTCCAAGTTATAGAGTGAATAGTGACATCAAATTTCCCCTTTTGTAATTATAACTTCCCCTAAGTAAATACAGAACCTCCAATAAGGAAAGTACTATTTCAGTTACAATGGTAGTTTGCTAGCTAGCTACTTTCAACACTTACTGCAGCTGTGTTTTGTGGAGGAGGAGTTGTTTTTCAGCATATTTTGAATTCTTATAAGATTTGTTTAGTTCATTATTTTCAATTTTAAGACTTTTTTCCTACCTTTCAACAAATGTGAAAAAATCTGGAAACATGTTATGATTAGTGCTTTGTCATTGTTTAATTGGAAGGTTTGTCGTTCTTATGCTGCATAAAACAGTGGGATGTCTTAAAATTGATGATGTGATGATTTATGTTTGAGTTTGGGCCACTAGGGGCTGCTATAGTTTGGATTTGGAATGCTTCCAAAGGTCCACATGTTTAAATCTTTGTTCTCAGCTTAATGATGTTCTTAGGTGACAGAATCTTTAGGACACCCCCTCCTTGCCTATCTGTTTCATAACTGCCAGGAGGTGAGCATCTTGCAGCACTTTGTACTCCTCACTGCTGCCTCTGTATACTACCTCACCACAGATCCAAAGGCAATGGAGTCCCAGTGACCATGACCTAAAACTTCTGTTAAAACACTAAGCGAAGAGGCTAGAGAGAGATGACTCAATGGTTAAGAATGCTTACTGCATTCCTCTTGCAGAGGACTCAAGGTAAGTTCCCAGCACCCACATCAGGAGACTCAAAACCACCTGTAATTCCAGTTTCAGGGATTCCAATGCCCTCTGGCTTTCAAGGTACCTGCATGCATGTGGTACACATAAACTCATGTAGGCTCACATACATACACATAATAAAATAGATCTTTAAAAAATAATAAAATACTGAGCTAAACGATACTGGAGGTATTAGGGATTTAAGAATAAACTCAAATGGAAGCTTGGGGACAATATTAGTTTAAAAGAAAAACTCCCAGGAAAAGCAAACTATAAATCCAAGTAGCTACCAGGAAGAGGAGAATGGAGGAGAGAAAAGCCATACTGTTTGAGTTGTCAGCATATGTGTATGGGGGGTTGCTTTAGAGAAAAAGCAAGGAAGCACAGAGTACCAGAAAAAGCATACTTAGGTTCTGGCCAACATCTGAAGGAAAGAGACAGAAAAAAGAAAAGTTAAATTTTTCTTACTCAGAAAGATGGACAGAACCAGCTAAACCTCATTGCTTGTGGATAGGAATTCTGGGAAGGAAAAATACATATCTCATTTTAGGAATGATTATCCTGCCTGAGTCTTTAGCATAGCTCAAGGTAAATCTACCTTCCTAGGGGTGGTCAGTTGGCCAAGTAATTGACTAGGCCCAACTGGAATATTAGGTCTCCACCCAGCCCAGAGGTTCTATTCTCTTGACCAGTTTTCCCGTAATGGGCCTTTATTGCTACTGTAACAAAAGTAAATCTTTCTTCCTTACAGGTTGATTTATCTTAGGGTATTTGTCATAGTAGTGGAAAACTGAGGAGCTCAGGTGCCCAGACATTTGAGGAGACATTCTGGATGGGCCTAGGTGGGTAGTTTTGGATAAGATTATTGAATCAGTTGGCCAATTAAATAGATTGCCCCTCAAATGTTTATAAGTCCTCCAGTTGTTTTTTAGGGATAGGGTAAAACAAAAAGGCTGAATACAAGGGAACTCAGGCCCAACAGTTTTGTACTAGAACATTGGCTTTCACTGAAGCTTCCTTCATGGGCCCTAGCTTGCTGACTATAGACCTTAAAACTTAACTTCCATAGTACCTGAAATAGTGCCTTATAATAATGCTGTTTATGTATGTGTCCATACATAATCCTATTGGTTCTTTCTCTTTGGAGACTTTTAATTCAAATATGCCTAAGTTTGTGCCCTCAGCACAAAGGGTGTGGTAAATTTGGGCAGTGTTCACACAAGCTATTGTCAGGAGTGCAGTGAGTGAAAAGATACTACTGCGTAACTACCATGACTTGCTAGGAGTAGGGGTCCAAGGACTGGGAGTTTCTGTGCCAGAAGGGGCCATGTAGAAAACATGATTTTCTCTTCAGCTCCATTGTGTACAATGTGTATCATAGAATAGCTTTCTTTATGTGTAAGATGAGTTGATTACACATGGTGATTTCAAAGACCTTCCATTTTTAGATTCTGAGAAATTGATTCTTTTGTTTCAGAGAGGGAGAACATGTCCTAAATAATCAGATTTCTTTTACAAAGGGATGATACATCACCAATGTCTGGTCACAGAAGAGCTGACACTCTCTACTTAGCAGCAATGTAATCTAATGATTGGGTTTATTAGGATATATTGTTGGTGGCAAAATAGTAGCTGTTCAATTTATCGTTCTGTAGAACTTAAACTCAAGGCCAAGAAGCATCGCCTTCCAAAATATATTTTTGAGTTCACCTCAACAATAAATGATCTGGGTGTTAGTATTATAAAAGGAACATAGGCTAGTTTTTTAAAAATAATGCTTATATTCTGTGAGAGAGTCATATGGTCCATTCAGGTATTACTGAAGAGTAGATGTTGAGAATTTGTCCAGTTTTGTTTAAGGAAGTAAGAGACCTGCTCCCTGGCAGGCCTGCGTATTTGTGGTTCCTAGAAAAGCAGATACTGATGAGTAAGTAATGAGGGTGCCTTCTCACCTCCCCACCAAACTTCTTCACTTAGAGTCAGTGTGGACCATTCAGCCTTCTTATTACAGAGTTTCCTGGAGGAAACCAGGAATGGTGGAGGTGCTCCAGGAAGTACTATCATCTCCCTGTACGGCACAATGAATTAGTATCATTTGAACATCATTTGGTGTTTTACCCATGTGGTTTGTACAATGCCCAAAGGCCCATTGGATATCTATTTCTATGCAGTCCCTGGGACTGGCTCATTGAAAGCCCCTATGGCTCTCCCTCTGGATGCTTCAATCACAGCAGAGTCCCATGAGAGAAGTGTAACGTGGCATTTCGAGAGGAAAGAAACTAGACCTACCTGACGATGCCTGCTAAGTTGATGTTTTTGGAGTACAAGCAGAAATGGTCAGTGATGGCATTTTATGAAGAAGATAATGTTTGATAGACAGCAGATAATTTTGCTCCTCCTGGAACTGTAGGGCATGTGAGAAGACAAGATGTCTGTTTCTACAGTCTATAGTTTGTCTTCTAAAATATTCCAATGTTGATATGATTAGAGTTTAATCATGAGCATTTTAAGATCACTGTGTTTGGTGGACTAATACTAAATAGAAAGATTTTCCTTAAGAACCATATGATTGTAGACAGGGCTCATTAATCTGGACTCTGCATAACCTTTGCTAAAAGGCCATTTTAATCTCTGTTGCATAGTTTCTAAATTTCTGATAATTTTTATTAAAAGAAGGGAATGGGTATGTGATAACAGTATTGTTCAGGACAATATTTATTTCTCTTAGAAAAATTAAGAATCATAGATTACTAGAACTGTATAAAAGTGGTGGTGGGGGGTAAAAATCACCTATAAGTTCCAATCTCTATTACCACCACTTGTTGCTGATCCTTTCCAACTTCTTTATCTCACATGACTATAATATATGCCTCTAGGAGTGTTTGTTTTTAATTTTACAAAGATGGGATCAAACATTAATCTTTTCTAACCTACTTCTTAGAAGTGATGAGAAATTCCTTAAATTTGGGATGTGGTGTCCCATGTTAGGCCCTATTTCTGTGCCTGGGTAGGCACCTTACACACCAGCAGTAATGGTGCTGGGGGGCCTTTTGCTTCTGTCTTCAGGTTGGCAGCCTCGATGGTTTCTTCTCTGTGGGGGGATACTATCCTATTACGATTCTCCTGAAGATGCCTGGAAAGGTTGCAAAGGGAGCATCCAGATGGCAGTCTGTGAGATTCAAGGTGAGTAACCAAGCAACTTGCAGGCTTTGTTTTTTCTTTGTGCCTAGAATAATGAAAAAGCACTGCCCCCACATGACTTTCTCTGCTGTTCCCATATTGCACACCAGGGTATATAGTGCTATGTCCTTGCAAGAAAGCCTTGGTAAGAGACCCCCAAACTACAACCAGCTTTTACCAGGAAATTGGTTAAGAGGAAGTCACAGTAAATGAGAGCAGCACCTTCACCACTCAGCTAGTGCTCATTTCTTAGTAACCTGAGGCCTGTGATTGCAAGAATTCAGTGATTTTTACTGCAGCATCACACACTTCTGTATTTAAATCAGGGCATACAGACCTACCTACTTGTCCACTCCTACCTCCTACTCAAAACAAGGAAATACTTAATGGACCTGCAGTTAGTGTTTATTTCTTGGTTTTAGATCTTGAGACACTGAGACATGGCTAAGAAGAAAAATCTATTAGCTGGGAATTTGGGGAGGGAGTATGGATGAAGGAGAATGTGTTTTGTTTCTTTTCTGGAAGAGTTAGGACAGCATTCCTATACCTTGGTCTGACTTCTCAAAGGAAGTTAAGTGAAGAATGTCCTTGATTGCTTCACAATAAATCCAAGGTGATAAGATTGTTCCTTTGCTTGTTGCAAGGTTACTAGTTTGTCTTCTCTTGATTTAACAAAATATCGGAGACTAGGTAATGTATAAAGAAAAGAATTTTATTTAGATAACAATTCTGGAATCTGAAAGTCTAAATAGAGTAGTGCTAACTTTGGTGAGTGCCCACTGAGTAAATCATGTCATTATAGACGGCATTGAGTGGTAGATCATGTGTGGGAGGCAGATCATATGGTGAGATAGGAAGCCAGAGAGAGACTAAGGCGGAATCCCATGAGAACTACATTAATGACCTCCAATGACGTTAATGATCTCTAATGACCTCCCACTCAGGTCCACCTCTTAAAGGTCCTCCCACCACTTAACAGCAAGCACCATACTGGGACCAAGCTTCCAACATGTGAACCCTTACATGATTCCAATTTTCTCTTTGGATTGGAGCATATAGAAACCATATTAGAATGCTAGCCTTTTCAGCTTAGAGCAGTGTACTTTGTACAGGCCAAAAGAGGAATTCCTGCTCTATCATGATAACAGGTTAAATTAGGTGATTGTTTTGGAGAGCATGGTCTTGATCGTGCCTTGGAGCCAATAGCAGAGCTGTCTAGAACAGATAAATGGACAGAAACTAGTGTCAATAAAAGAGTTGGTGAGGGCTAGTCTCCTCTCTCTGAAGTAGTTTTCAGGGGATGGAAAGGTGACTCAGTGGTTAAGAGTACTTGCTGCCCAATAATGGGGACCCAAGTTTAGATCCCAGCACCCACATAACAAGCCAGGCATCCTGCACACATCTGTAACCCCAGATCTGAAGGAGACAGAGACGGGAAGATCTCTGGGGCTTCCTGGCTTCCACCCTAGACAAGAAAACACAAGCCCTAGGTTCAGGAAGAATCCCTTCCTCAAAAAGAATAGGTGGAGAATGATAGAGGGGGATACCTGGCACCCTCTCCTGGCTTCAGCTGCATACATACACATTTTACCACATACATACATACATACATACATACATACATACATACATACATACACATTGTACCACATACATAAATAAACAAGCAAGCAAGCAAATCTTTTGAAAGGAAGCCTTCAGCAGCTGGTACCAGTTGAGCCTACCAAGTTAGGTGGAGTAGAAACTGTCCAGAGAGTTCTTACAGATCTCTGACCTCCCTCTTCCTTGCTCCTAGTTCATTCTGTAGATAACACTCGTATGGACCTGATAATTCCTGGGGAACAGTGTTTCTACTTAAAGGCCAGAAGTGTGGCAGAGAGACAGCGGTGGTTGGTGGCCCTGGGGTCTGCCAAAGCCTGTCTGACAGATAGTAGAACCCAGAAGGAAAAAGGCAAGTATTGATTGTCCCTTTGTCTGGGAAACTTGGGGATCACCTACAGACATCTCTGGGTTCCCTTAACCCAGCATTTTGTGTCATTTAAATGCTACATATTTAAGTAGAACTCAACACACCTATCGGTCCATACCTAATTTTACTTTAAAAATTTTTTTATTATTTTTATTTTATGTATGTGAGTGTATTGCCTACATATATGTAAGTGTGCCCATGTCATGTAATGCCCATGGAGGTCAGAAGAGGGCATTGGATCCCCTGGAACTGGAGATATGGATGGTGGTTAGCCACCATGTGGGTGCTGGGAACTGGACCCCAGTCCTCTATCACTTAGCCATTTGTCCAGTCCCTAATTCTACTTTCTTAGCATAGTAGAAAGAATGAAGACTTTAGAGCCAGATACAACTGGATTCAGTGATGGGTTGATAGTTTACTGGCTGTGTAATTTTGTCATAGGTCACTTAATTTTTCTGAGCTTGAATTCCTCATCCCTGGAAAAGAGGTGATAGTATCTGCCTTGGAGGGATTACTGTGAGGATTGGTGATGCATGACTTGGTGTCACAAAGTTTAGTGAAGAGTAGGTGAGTCAGCACAACTTCAGGTCATGGTGGCTTCTGTAGTCTAACCTGCTCTCTTCTGCCTCTCCCTGAGGTGGGATGGATGCTTAATTGTCAAGTTGCTGCTGCTTAATGGTCATTACTTGACATCATTTAGTTTCCTGAGTACCATGGTACAACTTTTCTTTGGACTGGGGCTTCTGGTTGCTGCTGGCACAGTTCCGCAGACCTTGTATACAGCTGAAGAAATTGGCTGTGATGTGGAATATGTGTCCTTCTCTTCAAATTGAACTAATAAAATGGCTTCTTCCTTGGTTGTTTTTGATGGTAAATTAGGAAAAAATTCTGGAAGCTATTGGCTTCTGCTCAGAGCATGTGGTAATATATGGCTCCAGAGCCACCTTCTGGTAATGGCTGGGTGTCATTAGCCTTGAAGGCAGCATTTAGGGCTGGTCCTCGCCAAAATGATAAATAGTGTTCTTGGTGGTAATTGAACATGACAGAAAGAACACTTTTCCAGGTGGGTAGATTGCTGTGACCCCCATCTTAGAGAGAGAGAAAACTGGCAGAGCTAAGACAGAATTCTAAACTCTTGGCTCTATTCCCAGTTCTCCCTGGACTGGATCATATAGAATGTTTTTTCCTTTCTATACTTGTGATAATTCAGTATGTTGTCATAAGAAATAATGTGTGCTACTTCCAAAGACTGGAAAATGTCCTTTATTTTTGTTTCTCCCATGTCTTTACCTCTCACATCTGAAACACATGCTGTAAACCTCTCACTTGAGGCATCAGTTCTAGACTCCACATCTGTGCAGTTCTTGTCATTCTGGTAACTATATTGCCATTATTTTGTTACTTAGAATTTGCTGAAAACACTGAAAACTTGAAAACCAAAATGTCAGAACTAAGACTCTATTGTGACCTCCTTGTTCAACAAGTAGATAAAACAAAAGAAGTGACCACAGCTGGTGTTGCTAATTCTGAGGTAAAGTATTATTTTAATAATATTATTGATAGTACACAGAAAAGTAGTGTCAAAGTCTTTTAGGCATTTATTTCCCAATAATTCCTGACTATCTTGGAATTTGCTGTTTCTTAGAAGAAAAAGAACATAATTCAACATAGAAATGCCTGTCTTGCATTACTTGGAAGCATACAGTTTTCCCACTTGTAATGAATTTAGAATTAACTAATACCATTTAGGACTTTTAGCTTCGGTACTAAGAAAACAAAACTGACACACTAAAACATGTTTCTCTTGAGTGTGTTTCACTTTTAAAAACATAGTCTTACCTGTTTTAACCACCATTTCCTATGTGTGGCTACTAAGATGCCAGCACAGTACCTGTCCATGGTATGTGTCTGTTACCTTTGTTGAGACCGACAGGACTGCAGTTCATCACATTAAATGTGCTCTAGAATGGAGACATGGCTTTGTTTCCCACTATCATCAGTAAGGATTGGGATTTGTTTTTGGTTTTGGTTTTGATTTTTTTTTGAGACAGGGGCTCCCTGTAATCCCAGCTGGTCTGGAACTTGCTATGTTGACCAGGCTGGCCTCTATCTTACAGAGATCCACCTGTCTCTGCCTCCTGAATGCTGGGATTCAAGTTATGTGCCACCACACCCAGCTTTGTTTTGTTTTTTTGAGACAGGATCACACTATGTGGCCCAGGCTACTCTTGAACTCTGAATCTTCCTGCCTCAGTTTCCTGAATGCTGTGATTTTAGGTATATGCCCCTATGCCCAACTAAGGATTGGGATTTTTAACATTTATTAATAAAGTTTATTTTCACTCATCCTAAAACATATTAAAAGGTCTCTTTGTTGTATTTTGTGTGAAATTCCATTTTCTAGAGAAGATCTCTGCTGTGCTCTCATAGTAGGTATAATCTGACAGGTGATGTCTACAACATGAAAAAATCTGCAGGTTACACATAATAGTTTTAACTTATTTTCTTAGGCATTATGCAACTGTTTTAATAATAGTATTTTGTGGTCTTTCTGATAAAGGTGGTTTAACTCACTTTCATTTACTTCCTATTGGGCTCTTTTGGTCATTTATTAGCTGCCTAGTATATATAAATGCTGGTAGTGGAGGATAAAGGAAGGGAAGAACCAAAAACCATTTCAGTTCTGTTCTTTCGAGGTTAATACTCTGGAGCAGGAACTGCCAATCCAAAGCATTTGTGCCCCCAGGTAATATTTTGTAGTGTCTGGAGATATTTTGGTGTTACAATTGAAGTACCATTGTGTCTAGTGGGAAAAAAAACAGGGATGCTGTTAAACATTTTACAGTGAACAGGAGACCTGTGACCTTGCCCCTACATGCAGATATTCTCTCTCTCTCTCTCCCTCCCTCCCTCCCTCTCTCCCTCTCCCTCCCTCCCTCTCTCTCTCCCTCTCCCTCTCTCTCCCCCTCTCCCTCTCCCTCTCCCTCCCTCTCTCTCTCTCTCTCTCTCTCTCCCCCACCAAATATCAGTGGTGCCAAAGTGGTAGAGAAACCCTCATCTAGAGAGAAGGAAATTGTGAACACAGCAATTTTGAAATAAGAAAATGCTTACAGTGAGTGCCTTGGGGGCTTACTAATGGAAAGTGTATTTACAACCATACAACAGCATCACCTGGGACCTTTATTAGAAATACAAGGTTGAAGAAAATATAAAGACAACTAAGATAAATCAAGAGTGTGGCCTCAGTTTCTTGAACAATTTACTAATACCAGTATCCAGAACAAGTAAACTCATGTGGAGGAAAAAAATATGTATTGTTTAAAGGAATCCCAGTTATTGAAACCCCTTGAATAATCCACACTGAAACAAATGATGCATAGCTTCTCAAGCACCATGTAAGTGCTGTACTCAGCATGTAGTAGCACGGTGCTAACTTCCAGAGTTGAGCTGAAAGAAGTTGTTGCCATAGCTGGAGCAATGTGTGTGTATGGTTGTGTATGTGTGTGTATGGTCAACAGATAAGTTGGGCTAGCTCCTTTTTGTTTTGTTCTGTTTTTCTTTTATTGCTGAAGTACATATTTATCTGGCAAAAATGTTGGGTGCATTTTGTGAATAAAAACCTCTGAGGATAATATAATTGGGTTCTTTCTCTTTTTTTGGCAAGACAAGTGAGTCTTCTAATCTGGTTATTTTGTAGGAGGCAATTGATGTGGGAACTCTGCTGAAATCAACCTGCAATACTTTTCTGAAGACCTTGGATGAATGCATGCAGATTGCAAATGCAGCCTTCACCTCCGAGCTGCTCTACCGCACTCCACCAGGATCTCCACAGCTGGCCGTGCTTAAGTCCAACAAGGTAAACACCTTAAAAGTTTAAGGATACACCCATTCATAACTGATACTTTCTTAGAGTATTTTTCTTTATGTCCCTTTTATATCTGCTCTCAGTCCCCTATGTCTAGCCAGTTGTTCTTGGCAGTTTGAGGACCCATTTAGTTGTCTAATGTAGCCCCTTCTCTCAGACTTCCCAAGAGTCTTTCCTAGAATTGTCCTAACTACTCACCATCAGCCTGATCCTTCCATTGGCCTATAGATTAAAGCCAAAAGTTCTTAACCCCTTTCTGCTTCTTTTCCTAATACCTAACTTGAGCATACTGTCGCTTATCAACACACACACACACACACACACACACACACACACTCCTTTATTTTCCAATGCCAAGAATGCTATCTCAGCTTTTTCCTCCCATGTCAGCTCTTCCCTAAGTCACTATGTTAGGCTAAGAGCAGGAACCCTATTAATACTTGCCTTCAGACCTCTAGTGCTTGATATAATACTACACCATAATTTGCTACGTATTAATGTTTAATGAGGGTAGCAAATTACCAAGAAAGCCAATCACCAAGAATTTGACTATGATAATGAGATCTTTCAGAACCCAAAATCCTTTCCTTAGAAAGTTTGGTCTCATTATACTTAAAAGAAGGACAAATTGAGATAGATGGCTACATTTGCGGAGGGCCTAGAATTCTTTCTGTTGAGTGGGTTAGTATATATTATGGCCATGTTTACCACCTTTATATGTGATAAAATTCTCAGTTATGCCCTGTTAGAGTTTAACACGTAAACTTACATTTCTTTGTCTTTTTTTCTTTTTAAAGACAAAACATCCTGTTGTACCAATTCATAATTCATTGGAAAGGTAATTCTTGTTTTCCTATTTTAAAAACGTCTGTTATTCCTTGTTTTTAAAAAGGAGTGGTGTGGTACTCATTTGAGCACTCTCCTCTTGTGTAAAACTAAATCATAAATGGATTCGGCACAAATGGGAAAATGTGAGCATTTCCCTAAGAACTGGGTCTCCCCATCACATCTGATAACTTTATCTAGAGTTACTGAAGGTTAGAACTTCTCTTGTAGAGGAGCTGAATGTTGATTTAAATGTGCTTTTGTCCAGGAAAAATAGTAGTATTACTGTTTTATTTAGGAATAAAATCTTAAGTAGCTCTTTAAGTTGAAAAGTAACTTATCAGAATCTAAACTATTACCATTTCTCTAAGTGATTCTTCAGCCTAGAAAATGTATACATGGACTGTGAGTGTGTGTGTAGCTCAGTGGCGGCATATTTGCTTAGCATGTGTGTGACCTCTTAAGCAAGAGATCAACTATTAATTTGAAAGGATAATTATCTGTATTATGTCAACACACAGGAATACCTGCACCATGCAAGTGAATAAAGACCCTATTGACATGATGCAGGCATTCCTATGTGTTGATGTAATGTAGAGAATTATCTTTTCAAATTAATAGTTGATCTCTTTCTTAAAATTTTTAAAATTTGTTTATGTGTATAAGTGTTATGCCTGCATATATGTAAGTGCACCCAAGTCATGCAGTGCCCATGGAAGACAGAAGAGGGCATCAGATCCCCTGGAACTGGAGTTACAGATGGTTGTTAGCCACAATGCTGGAATTCGAACCCCAGACTTCTGCAAGAATAGCCAGTGCTCTTAACCACTGAGCCATCTCTCCAGCCACAATAGTTTTATCTCTTTATGTACTATTTGTTTCTTTATTACAAGGATTTTTCTCAATTTATTGTTACTAGTTTTCTCCTTTCCAGATAGTTCTAGTAGAAACATCTTTATAAATTTCTTCCTTTGCCAGGTGTGGTGGTGCATGCCTTTAATCCCAGCACTCAGGAGGCAGAGGCAGGCAGAGCTCTGTGAGTTTAAGGCCAGCCTGGTCTGTATAGTGAGTTCAAGGCCAGCTGGGACTATAGGGAGACCCTGTCTCAAAATGTCCAAAAATAAAAAATCTTATATAAATTTCTTCTTTTGAGGCAGTTACTCCATTGACCATGTTTTGAGTTGCTGGTTTGAAATACGAATTTTTTTTTTTTTTTTTTTTGCTACTATCATTAACTTGGGCATCTCCCCCTTATTGGTTTAATTTGATTAGACATAATCACCTATAAGACATTATTAATCAGCTGTTTCACTCCAATGTTAAGTAGCTTTTTCTGTTGTTTTAACATGTGCCCAGTCCCTCAGGATGTGCTGTGATCCTGGGTGTTTTTCTCTGAGATTTATGCTGACAGAATTGTCTGCTGACCACAGCATGTACTTTCTAGACAGTTAACTACTAAGCAAACATGTGCAAGTAGCTAGTGTGATAAGAAAGTGTTTTCTAGGGAGAAGTTAAAGAAAGCCAAGTAAGCGTTAAATGTGGCACATGGAGAAAGTGTATTGGAAACCAAAGAACTGCCCATAGCTATTTCATGGTGCTGGTGGGAGCAGGAAGATTGAGTCACCTCCAGGTACAGGAAGAACCATTAATGTTTTGTTTTGTTTTTTTTAAATTTAGAAAGTTATTTACTTATTCTGTAGCCCAGACTGTCCTGAAAATGATGGTGATCCTCCTGTCTCAACCTCCCAAGAGCTGGCATTAGCAGCAGGAGTCACCACACCCAGCTTTGATGTTTCTCTTTCTGAGATGGACCTGCCCCCCTCACAGCAAATGCCTACGTTGGTGGCTGAGAGGCTGAGAGGTTTGGCTTGGTTTAACAAATCTGTTTTTTAATCAATGTTAGTAGGATTTGGTAATTGTGAATCCTTCCTCCCATCCCTCAAAACAATATCATTTTCTTTAAAAAAATTTTTTAGGCAAATGGATTTGAACAATTGTGAAAATGGATCTTTAAATATGGAAGTAAATAGTGATGAAGAAACCGTAATGAAAAACAAGAGTTCTTTGTATTCGAAATCTGCAGAGGTAGATTGCAGCATATCAAGTGAAGAAAATACAGACAATAATGTAACAGGTAATGACAGAAGGAAAGTCTGAAGAAAACTAACAATAGGAAATTTCGAGGTCTGGCTTACACACATGATGAGCACTTAATGGAGTGTAGCCTTTAGGCAGTGTGCTTGGTGTCTCTACCAAGGAGGTTTGGTAAGATTTGATGTTGAAAGGGGAACACTGAGGAGGTCTCCTGCTCACAGTTCTTGGTTTTGATGTTCATGACTGCAGTGAACTGTTTTGGTGGGCATGAGTGGTTCACTGACTCTTCCTACAATATCTCAAAGTCTTTTGAACTTAGACTATGTCAGACTTAATGATGTGTAACATTAGAGCAGCTAAGTTTTTCAATCTCCTGGTTTCTAGTAGGGCCTGAGGATGTCACAATTTTCCAGCCACCAAACTTCCATCTGTTAATCAAGCCAAATTTCAGGTAAAACCTATGTAGTTGATAATTCTGTCTTCTGAGATTTACTAATTCCATTGACACTAATTACAAAGCCCTTTTTTCATTTCAAATATAACTATATTACAGCTTTTAGTTGTATTATAAGTACTTACTAAATAATTTTAAAACCTAAGTACTTACTAAAATAGAGCACTTTTTTTTCCTTCTTCATCTGTCCTAAAATAAAAGATTCCACTATTTTTCTAGCTGAGTCAGGAAAAAATATATTGTGTTAATCCTAGAAAATCTTAGCTGTTTATCTAGAAAAGTAGTACATCTTATTGAGTAAAGACAGGAGATTTTATATCAAATATACTCCCATTTACTTGATTCAGTAATCTTCCCTTTAGGAATCTGTGTTCACAGACTACTCAGATTTAAAGATCTTTGAACAGTGCTCTTTATGTGTTATTGTCAATTCTCATTATTTGTGGTATTTATGCTGCATAAAAGTCACCCAAACTCCAGAGCTGGGTGTGGTGATACACACCTTTAATTCCAGCACTTGGGAGGCAGAGGCAGGCCGATCTCTGTGAGTTTGAGGCCAGCCTAGTCTACATAGTGAGTTCCAGGCCACCTGGGGCTAATGGGAAACCATGTCTCCAAAAAAAATAAAGGGTGACCCAAACTCTGGATTAGCAAATAATGCAATTGCTCCTAAGAGTAATAGAGTTAGTTTCCTGCAACCCTGTGACTTTTATAAACTAATCAGTAAATAACATTGTTTTAATGTGTCCTTTATTTAAACACACCTGATATAATCTAAGTTAGCATTGAGCTCAGAGCAAGCAACACTGTGACTCATGCCTGAATGAAGCCTGTCTATATACACTGTCCATGAAGGTAAATCACAGCCTTCTTGGGCTTATGTGTACTAGACAGCCTTACAGTTTGGAGTCCTATTAACCTGCAAAATTAGCAGCAAAATATATAAACATGCAAAAATCATGGCAGTAAATTAAGACATTTATTTATGGTATAAGAACTGAAACGGGCCAGGCATGGTAACACATACCTTTAATTCCAGCATTTGGGAGGCAGAGGCAGGCAGATCTTTGTAAGTTCGAGGCCAGCCTGGTCTACATAGCAAGTTCCAGGCCAGCTGGGGCTACTGGGAGACCCTGTCTCAAAAAGACCAAAAAAAAAAAGAAGAAAAACTGAAACAAAAAGACAATACAGTGCCTTGTTACACCTCAGCGAACCATCTGTATGTGTGGTGACAAGTTTTTCCCTCTCTGTACTGCCCACAAACAACTAGAAAAGTATACAAGTATTGATTTATGACTTAGAAGTAAACTTTAGCATGTGGGTAAATTCACACATATAGAATATGCTCACTATGAAGATTGGCTGTATTCATAAAAGTAAAATTTTGGAAACCAATAAATGCCTCACATTGCATAATGCAATATTACAAAGTCATTAAAATCATGTTCTGGTGGCCCTCAAGATGGCTCAGTGGGTAAAGTTATGTTCTACTTAGCCTGACAACCCAAGTTCAGTTGCCAGAGCCCATGAGGTAGAACAAGAGAGCTGACTCCAACTTGTCCTCTGACTGTCACACACATGCCATGACTTGTACATGTCCATACAAATACACTAAATAAATAAATGTTGTAAAGTTAAATTTTTGACAAATACTGAATGATAGTGGAATAATTATGATGCACGATTCAACAAAAACAAGAATATACCTCTGTTCTTCAAATTCTGTTTGTGTGTGTTTATAGGCATATGTGTACATGTACATTATTTCTCAAGTTTTTATTTCTGTACATTGTTCTGTGTTTTGGAGAGTTTTACTAATGATATCTATTAATTTTCATAGTGGACATGGAAGGGCTTAGTGATAAGTATCACTTACTTTGTAGTCCAAGGTGAAATAATGAAAGAAGATGGAGAGGAAGACCTGGGAAATCATGACAGTGACCTGACACAGCCTGAATCAGATTCAGTTTGCTCACCAGAATCCCTCTGGGAGAACAGTGAAGAAGTTATCCCGACTTTCTTTAGTACCATGAATACCAGGTATTTCAGACCTTCTAAAATCTCTGATGATTGAATACTAGTTTTCTTTCTGAAAAATCAGTTGTAATGACATATTCTAAGAGTAGAGAATATGGTACATCAAGTATTTACTAGTTACTTTGTCTGAATAGTGAATGAGAACAAATTGACTCTTGAGGGGGGATTATCTTTGGAAAATTATTGTAATGGGCCCTTTTAAAATTGAAAAATAATTTCTGGCACATACTCATGAGATCAGGCAAAGTGGTTTTCCCTACAAAGCTGTTTCTGTGACTCTGAATTGCGCATGCTGATATTGTACTTTTAATCTTTCCTTCTCAATATCACCAAATTTTTAGCTTTAGTGACATTGAACTGCTGGAAGATAGCGGCATTCCCACAGAAGCATTCTTGGCATCTTGTTATGCTGTGGTTCCAGTATTAGGTAAGATTGCTGCATTTGCCTTACATTCATTAGTTTCTGGAATTTGTCCCACCACAGTTATTTCAAAAGATAAATATTCTGAATTATGTGCATAGTAAGTTGACTCTTCTTAGCTGCCTCTTCACATCACCTGCAACAGTATGACTTAAACATTACATTGCCCCATTTCATTTCTACAACTAGAAATGAATGAGGTCAATTAATTATTGACCTCAGAGTAGAGTAATGACAAAAGGGGATTCTGCTTTCCAGAAAATATACATAAAAGCAAAAGTCAAAGTAGTTGAGGAACATGCCTCCAAAACTACAAAACTATTGACATTATGGAAAAAAAACATTTTTCCAACTAAAAGATTTTTTTCAGAAATACATATAAACTTAAATTCAAATTTATAATATTGTAATATCAGGGATTGCTAATGTCTTGAGCTTTACTGTGTGACCTATTTATGCATATTTTTTCTTTTTTTATGTGTATGAGTATGTAATATATGTGCATGTGTGTGTGTGTTCATGTGGCAGGAGGCATGTGTGGGTGGGTGTATGCAAAGGCCAGAGGTTAATGCAGGTGTTTTCCCCAATAACTTTCCACTTTATTTACTGAGGCAGGGTCTCTTGATGAACCCAGAGCTCACAGATTCAGCTAGTCTAGCAGCCACTGTGCCCCCAAGATTCCCTGTCTCCTGCCTCCCAAGTGCTATGATTATATGTGGGTTTCCACACTTGCCCAGCTTTTATATGGGTTTTGGAGATTTGGACTCTGGTTGTCACAATTCCTGCAGCAAGCACTTTATCCACTGAGCCATCTCCTAAGCCCTACCCATATGCTACTAGTTAAAGTATAACTTGCGTAGAACTTAAGTGTTAATGATTGTCAGTTTTGATAAATGCACCTTCCTGTATATTCCATATCTCTATCAAAATATAGAATATTTTCATTACCCCAGAACATCCCCTGTGCCACCCTATCCTAGATCTACTATCCAGCCTGAGGTAATCATTTTATTGATTTCTATATAGGTTAGTTTTTCCTATTCTAAAACTTCATATAAATGGAATACTATTGTCTACACATTTTGCATCTGGTTTTTCTCAGTATGTTTTAGAGATTCACCTTTGTGGCATGTGTTTCATTTCTTTCAAGTAAATATCTAGGACAAGAACTGCTGATTATTACCAATAAGCTTAACTTTATAATAATCTGCCAATTTATAGAATGGTTGTATGATTGTATATTCACACTAGCAGCAGTCTAAATATTCTAGTTGTTTCACATCTTCGTTTGTGTTGGATGGGGGATATTATTCCTTTGGACCTTCCCTCTGTATGTTTAATAGTCTCTTGTTGTAGCTTTAATCTACATTTCCATGATGATTGATGATAAGTACTTTATCATACAGTTATTGGCCATTGCTGAATCTTTTGTGATCTGTTTCTTCACATGTTTAACCCATGTTTAAAAGTTCTTTTTCTTTTTATTACTGGGAAGTTTTTTGCACTCTCATTATTGAAATTTGAGTATTTTTTGACTGTTCTGTGTAAAATCCCATTATAGACATATGCATTGCAAATATTTTTCCCACATACTCTCATTTGCCTATTTAGTTTTTAACTCTGTTTTTTGAAAAGTAAACTTTAAATTTTGACAAACTTTTGACAAACTACTGTTGTAGTTAATGTTTTCAACTGTGCTATAGCCAGTTACTTACCATAACCAGGGGTCATAAAGATACTCTCTTGTGTTTTTTTTAAAGACTCTTTAATTTTTGCATTTATGGGTTGTATATGCGTGCGTGCATGCATGTGTCTATGTAGGTGCAGGTATACGTGCATGCTCATGTGCACATTTGTGTGGTAGCCAGAGGATGGATGATCTGCTCCTTAGGAGCTATCCACCTTGTTTTTTGAGACAAAGTCTCTTACTGGCATGTAGGTCACCAAGTAGGCTAGGTTAACTGGTCACAGATCCCCAGGAATCCACCTGCCTCCATCTGTCCCCAGCACTGGTATTGCTAGCATGTGCCATGATGTCCAGTACTTTTTTCTTATTAGAGTGCTGGGTTGAAATTCAGGCCTTCATACTTGGAAGGCAAGACTTTACAGACTGTGCTATCTCCCCAACCCATGTTTATGTTTATAGTCTGTATTGGAATGACTTTTTGTGTGTGGTGTGATGCTGGGGGTTGAAGATCATTTCTGTTTGAATGATAATCTAGTTATTTAAGAACGATTTGTCAGGACTGGAGAGATGACTTGTGGTTGAGAGCACTTGCAGAGGACCCAGGTTTGTTTCCCAGCACCCACATGGAGGCTTACAACATCTAAAACCCCAGTTCCAGGGGATCTAATTCCCTCTTTTGGTCTCCAAGGGCAGCAGTCACACATGTTGCACTTACATATATTCAGGCAAAACACTTTTACTCATAAAATAAAAATAGATTTTTTTTAAAGAAAGAACCATTCATCAAGAAAAACACTAGTATTTTCCCATTTACATTGTTCTAGCAGTTTTCTCCAAAACCTTTGTTCTAAATAAAGCTTTGTATAGCTTTATCTTTTATTAGGAATAAATTTTAGAATTTTATGGGTTTGATGCTATTTTAGAGTTTTCATTTTCTGACCATTAATAACATGTTAATATATTGATTTTTGTTTGCTGAGAGTCATTTTTAGAGTCATGAATCAGTTTTATAAAATGCTTTTACTGTAAGTATTGAAATAATGTTTTTCTGGTAATTTGCTAATATAATGAACTACGTTGTTTACATTTATTTCATTCTATTTTGCTATTTGATTCTGTCATGTTCTATTTATTTTGAATTTTCATATCTGTTTTGTTCTTTTCATGGCTTTTAGCCAGTGAGTGAATTATTTTTAGTATCCCATTTTATTTCATATTTTGGAGTTTTTTTTAAGTTACCTGTCTTTGTACCCTTTATTTCTTATAGATCAATCAGATATTTTTTAGAAGTCAGTATTTTTTCTCTTCTGTTTTTATGCTATACTTTTTTAGTAAAAATTATATTTAGTAAATATAAGCAATTGCAATTAAAAGGTATGTCTAACAAAATTACATTTAGTAGAAGGACTAACAGAAATGAGCAAACCCATGTAACTACACATTTTTAGAAGGTACATTAAAGTAGTAAAACAAAAATTAATAATATATCTTATTTAGGATGGCATATAAAATGTCATGTTCACAAGTAGTCAGTATAGAAAGCTATTAATTAGGTCTTTCACATTCTTTATTTGGTACTAAGTCTTTAAAATCTAGTATGCATTTTGTAGATACAGTACATTTCTATTTGGACTGGTCACATGGAAAATACTAAATAGTCACATATCTGTAACTTCCATATTGGACAGTGCAGCCTAAATGATTTCAGATGGAACTCTAAAGTTATAAGATATCCTCATCTCAGCTGCCACTTAGACCTCATCATTGTTAGACACCTAAAAGCAGCGTGATGGAGAAGGTGAGGACCACAGCAGGTTCCTGAAGTTTGTGCCTAGAAATGGTTTTAAAGTCAGAGTTGTTGGGGGAAAGATCTAGCTATATTACTACTATAAAATATTTCCTATTACAAATAATATGCATAAAAGTATTTTGCACTTGAAAAAAATCCTTTTTCAAAAATATTTTTATCCTTTCTTCCAGACAAACTTGGTCCTACAGTGTTTGCTCCTGTTAAAATGGATCTTGTTGGAAATATTAAGGTGAATGTACTGACTTGTCTCTGTAGTTGAAACTTATCAGTAAAGTTTTCAGTAGTTTTGTGTTTGACAAGACCAAATTAAAAAGGAAAAGTCATTCGCATTGTGAGTGCTCAATAGAGAAGTAACTAATGAAGCTCTTGATGGATGATAGAGGCAAACTTTTTGGTGGTGAGATGCTCAATTTAGAAATGAAACCAAGATTTCTTTTCAGTGATCAGAGCATGAATCCTATGTTGATAATGATTGTGTGCATTTATGTTTAAATAATAACAGGGAATGTTTTTCTAAAATATGTTCCTGTAAATTCCTGTGAGTGGTCTGGGACTCAAAAGCCCAGCTCCCAGGCACAATTGTGGAACCGGCAGTAACAGAAGGAGTCTCTCTGAGTCTCTAGTAAAGTGAAGGCTGTTCACATTACCTCCAACTTACATAGTTTGGACACCTTTTTAAATGTAATTTGAATGTTGTATTCTTCAAGATATATAACCCAGTAAACATCGGTCTTCTTCATCACTCGAGTCTGTACTTTGAGATTCCTGTAGATATTCCTTTCCTTGTGCTTTTGGAGAGACATGAGTCTCACTCATAAAAATGACTGTTAAATTTTGTATTCAGGATAAAAAGTAGCTGTGAAACAGCAGTAGGAGAGATTCTGAGACAGGGAAAAGTACCTCAAGAACAATACTTTAAAATTCCGGGACTATTTTCTTCTATGGGGCTAGAGAGGTGGCTCAGTGGTTAAAAGCACTGATTGTTCGGACTTGGGTTTGATTCCCAGCACCCACATGGTGGCTAACAACCATTTGTAACCCCAGTTCCAGGGGATGTGACACCCTCTTCTGTCCTCCACAGGCACTGGACAACACAGATGCACTTATACACCTGCAGGCAATACACTGATACACGTAAAATACAAATAATAAACATTTTTTTTTTAAATTCTGGGACTATTTTGTTCTAGTTAATTAAAGCCTTAGAATTTTTAGACAAAAAAAAAGTTTTGCTAGCAGGGTATGGTATGGTGATGCACGCCTCTAATTCCAGTACTTGGGAGGCTGAGGCAGGTGGATCTCTGTGAGATTGAGGCCAGCCTGGTCTACATAACGAGTTCTAGCTGGGGCTGTAGGAAGACATTGTCTCAAAAAAACAGAAGGAAAAAAAAAACATTGCCTTAAACACATAAGGAAGACTAAAGATCAATAGACTCATTTCTTAGAGGTCTTCTTACCACATTTATAGATTTAAAAACTGTACTGATTTTCTTGATAATGTTACAATTGTGCTGTTTTCTTCTAGAAAGTAAATCAGAAGTATATAACCAACAAGGAAGAGTTTACTACCCTTCAGAAAATAGTGCTGCACGAGGTGGAGGCGGATGTAGCTCAGGTCAGGAACTCTGCTACTGAAGCCCTCTTGTGGCTGAAGAGGTGAGGCCAGCAAGTGGAGCCACTGCTAAAATTCAGCTCAGTTGAAATGTTACCAGCCCCAACCCTTGTTCTGCAAAGGAAATCACTTTTGAATGAAGGACCTAGTCAAATGGTATAGCCTTTTCAAGAAAATCTGATGAATAGAATACCAGCTTCTTTTATCCTTCTTGACAGTGATTATTAATATTGGTAGTATTTGAGAGATAGGAATTGTAAAGGACAGGAAAAGTGAGTTTTAAGTCTCTGGCTTTCTGACTTCAGTGGCAGAGCCTGGGCAAATGCTAAACTCAGAACCAGAGTTCTAGTTCCCTGTTTAATGTGTAGGCTCTAGAATTTGCATCTCTAATAAATTCCAGGTGATGTTAAAGCCACCAGTCCTGGGACCACATTTTGAAAACTAGTGCTTTATGTATGTCAGATGGGGTTAGGGCTAGAGCATTCTAACAGAAAATGACAGGGAAGAAATTCAGAAAGAACCAGTGTATGGTCTGCTCAGGTACTGCTGTGCCTAAGAGAGTACTGAAATCAAAGTCAGTATCTGCAGACTGGACTTTGAAAATAATATTTCTTCCTTTTTCTCACTTTAGAGGTCTCAAATTTTTAAAGGGATTTTTGACGGAAGTGAAGAATGGAGAAAAGGATATCCAGACTGCACTGAGTAAGTGTTCTTTACATTTTCATAGATCACATGATTAGGATTTTGAATGGAGAACCCTGAAGGATAAGACAAAGTATAAGAGAAGTTTCTGCTTTTCTTTTTAAATTTCATTTTTATTCATTATTTCCTATATCCTTTCTTTTCTTTCTTTCTTTTTTTTTTCTTTTCTTTTTTTTGTGTGTTTTTGAGACAGGGTCTCCCTGCACCCCAGCTGACCTGGAACTTATTATGTAGACCAGGTTGGCCTTAAACTCACAGAGAGCCACCTGCCATTGCCTCCTAAGTGCGGGTACTAAAGGCGTGCCCCACCACGCCCAGCCGTACATCCTTTCTTTAAAAATGATCTGTGAGGGCTGGGGATATAGATTAGTGGTATAGCATTTATGTAGCATGTCCAAGGCCCTGGGTTCAGTCCCTGTTTCACAAAAAGAGAGGAAGGGAGGGAGAAAAGAAAAGGACTTAGAGACCAGGCCATCTAATTCCAACTAGTTAAAAATCAGAATATTACCCTTATATCTTAACAGGAGGACCTAATTCATCATAAGGTTAGTTTTCCTAAACAGTCCTCCAGAGTCAGTATTTAAAGAGAAGCTAATTTTAGAGACCATGAAAGAAAATAGAGGGGGGGAGGGGGTCCTGAGGAGTTACTGTGGAGTAAAATTTGGAATTGGCTGTCAGTTTGCATTCCTCCATGTGTCTGTTACATAGTGACAGAGTCAAGACTATGAGGAAGACTTTCATAAGGGAGATTGTCCTGTATCGATCATAATGCAATGACTACAACATTGTAGGTGCTCAGTAAACATTAGATAAGTAGGTTATCAGACTGATTCATCTATCAGATGAGTTTTGGGAAAAAATATTAAGACTTAGAAGCATTCCACAGTGCTACTAACATACTGGCTGAACTTTCGCCCTTGGCCTATGGAAATAATTTTATTGTGAGTCTTTTTGTTTTATGAAGAACCAAAATTATGAAAGATTAAAATACTTGCTTCAGACCCCAAAAGAGTATGATGGGCATAATCATCACTGTCACACCCACATTGATAACCTACCAGAAATGGTACTTATTTGTGCCAAATCAGAAGTGAAAAAATTCACTGCCAAGCCAGAAATTTCTCTTCAAACTAACTTCTTAGTGTAGAGGTTTCATGCTGGAAGGGTGACTTCTTCACTCTAAGAAGTACAGGAGATTGGAGATTGGCCCTTGTGCCTGGCAGGCTGCACAGGTCCCATGCCGCTCCTGGTGTGTGGTAGGGTGTCTGTGCAACAGGAGGGCAGTGCTCAGCTGGGGAGAAATGGAACTCAGATGCTCACTGGACACTTACTAGTGAGCAGAGAGCTTTGACCCTGAGGTGGGAGGAAATTAAGGATGCACACTTTTAGCCCTTCTACCCCAATTTTGCACTTGTTTCTCCTCTAGCTGGTTGTTCTCCTCTTCTTCCTCCTATTCCTCCCCCCTTTTTTCCCTTCCCCCCATAATGTAGCTGAGTATGTAGCCTTGAACTTCTGATTCTCCTACCTTCACCTCCCAAATGCTGGAATTACAAGCATGTGTCAGCACACTGGGTTTATATAGCAGGACTTTGAGCATGTTAGGCAAGTTACCAACCTCCCTGCACTTTTAGTCCTCTAGCTAGTTCCTTTCACTTGATTTTCAGACAGGGCCCAGAAGATGTTGACTCTGTGAAGAGAAACTTTGAAGGGCAAATGTTATTTGCCCAGTGAAATTATGATAGCCAGTCTCAGCTCTTCCTCCCTCAGTCTTCCTTCAGTTCTATGGTCATGGAAGAGAAAAGGGAGCTGTAAATTTGACATTTTCATGCTGATAGTCAGGTTTAATTCACAGGTTTTCTTGATTAAAGTGGTATCTTTGTGGTAATCCTAGTTTCTGTTGCTGTTCAGTGTGAGGAAATCATCCCAGCCGGCGCCCCACCTTGCCTCCACACATACGTCCAAAAAGCTCTGCAAACGTGATGTTATTTATTCTTTGACCATTTAATGCTTGTACATAACATATTTTGGTCATTTTCACCCCATTACCTTCTCTCATCCACCTCCCACCCCTACTGAGCCCCTTCTCAGAATGTCTTCCTCATACTTTAAACTACCTTTAAAAAATATAAAAATCAGTACCAGCAAAAGAAACAGGTCACAGACCCAGACTACTTGAACTCTAGTTTATAAGTGAGTTCTTAGGGTTCTTAGGTATTCCAGGCAGACTTGCTCACCTCAAAAGAAGCACAACTATAGACAAACATGGGTTTTTGAGGATCACTTATACAAAACTGTTCAGTCCGCAAAGAATCCTTGGTGCATGTTTCTCCTGGGATAATGGCTTTGCTTTTCTTATTTAAAATTACCACCTTTGTAAGTAGAACTGATAATCTTGTCTGAATTAAGTTAAGGTAGGTATGTAGACAAAATAGTGCATGTACAAGGGCAAGTGAAATGGCACCAGTGACAAGCCTGATGACCTGAGTCCAATCCCCAGTCTCAGGATCCACTTGGTGAAAGGAGAGAACCAATTCCTACAGGTTGTCTTCCGACCACCCAGCATACACTATGGCACATGTGCCCACACATATACACAAACACATGCACATGATAAATAAATGTAATAAAAATTATGAGTAGGTATACAGTTTATGCATATAAACAAATAGCTGCATATAAACAAATTAGCTTGCTTTTTTAAGTTCTGAAATTGAATTTTTGCCTAATTGCAGCTATAACAGTCATCTTTTGTAGTTTCATTTGCTTTGTATTCTGGCAGTGCTGGGGTTCAAACCCAGGGCCTCACACATGAAGGAAAGTGCTCTTGCACTAAGCTGTTGAATAGCTCCCAGCACTCAAAGGGAGACCTAAGGCTTTATCTCTGTCCCCTTTTGCACTTGAACCATCACTTGGAGTTCCCACAGTGATGATCAGTGTGAAGCGTTTTGGGTGTTCTCCAGCAATGGTGCTATACCCTTCGCATCTCCTGACATTCACTCAGAGTCACTCAAGAAGTTGTGTCACAAGGAAGATAGGGCTAAATTTTGCCTCAGGACTAAGCCCTCTGTTTGCAGGTGCCACATCTAAAGAAGCTCTGGAAAGCAGCCTGATCAGTGGAAGGAAAAGAAGCTGCTCTAGCATTTCAGGCTCCATTGTACTAAACATTACATGTTCTGCACTGTTCATTCAGCAGAATGGCATATTGTCATATCTCTCACCTCAGAAGAGCTCTATAAATGTCAAGCAAGAACTAACCCAACCAAGATCTGGCACAGAACTTGGGAAAAAAATTTAGAAGAGCTCTATAAATGTCAAGCAAGAATTAACCCAACCAAGATCTGGCACAGAACTGGGGAAAAAAATAATGTAGTTAATGTGAAAGGCTTTCACAGTCAAGGAGACCTAAGGAGGGAACCCATAAGCATATACTAAATATCAAATCATAACTTGACTGATTATTCTGAAATCATGTGAGTCAAGCCATGTTCTCTTTAGAACTCAAAGCATGACCTGCAGCAGCAGAATTGCCTTGCCACACAAGTTTTGCTCATGGCAGTGCCTAAACTTAACACAGTATCTTTGAGAACTTGTTCTACATCTGTCCCTTAGTTACTGAGTTGGTGTTTTCCTCATACAATTCATTTTGCCTGATAGTCACTAAAAGAATTTAGAGGGTACCTTCTTAGTAACTTAGTTGTTTTTAAAATTGTATTTCAGGCCTTTAACAAATATCTATAATAATAATATTAATTAATTATATATAATAATTAATCATATGTTAATATTAATAATAATATTAATGTAGAAAATAGTGAAATGCCATTAAGTGCCCATGTACTACCCCTCAATCCCATTATTCCCCTTGTTTTCCAGAGAAGGTCATCCTGAATCTGCTGTTTCTCCTGCAATGCACATTCTTACGCTGTTACTCTCATTATGTCACCATAAAGACCTGTCTAGTGCTGGGCTCCATATTTGAAGCTCCTATGCATAATGTTGTGTTGTGCACATTCTTTTTTTCCCACTTTATACTGTTTTTCAGATTTATCCACTCTTCATGCTTATAATCCTGAGTCATTCCTTTTCCCTGCTATATAGCCTTTCGTTGTTTCAGTACAGCCAGCATAGTTGTTAAAAACTAAAATAATTGCTGCTGGATATTTAGGTTGATTTCATGTTTTCATTGTCATAAACAGTGCTACGATGTACATGTTCCTTTTATACATGCTGTTTCCCATACAGAAAATTGTATCTGATCAGCATACAGAAAGGAAGAGGGAGTATGCTCACCACTAAGTGTGATTGATACAGGGACTCTGACTATCTTTCTGGGCTTTTCTGACTAAGAAACTGCTGCTGGAGTGGAGGTGCTCAGGCTCTGGCTTCTCTCAGCATCACCTGAAGGGCTCTTAAATACAGATTACACCAAAACTCTGGACTGGGTTTCTAATAGGTTCCCCAGGTACTGAGAATCACTGTTGTAGTATGCAGTGGAATTCAGATGGCTGAACCATGTTACTGAATATGGCTGAATTGCTCTCCAAAATCAGTAGTTACCAGCAGAATAGAGTTCCTTCATTCTTGCCAATGCTTGTCACTTTTAAACTTGTGCCCTGTGGTTGCAGAACAGAAGAAGAATATTGCCTATCTGTGTACTTTGACCATTTTTCTCTCTTTTTTTAAATAGCTAATTTATTGAGAATATCATACATGCATATAAGGTGTTTTATCAAATCCATGCCCACTCCCTCCCCTCCAACTCCTCCCATATCTCCATGGGGCTTTTGGTTGCTCTAACATTCCCCCCTCTGAAGAGGTAACCCTAAAATCTTTTAAGGATTAGATAAAAGCTCCCAAATATTTTCAACATTTTTGGCCTTTGGAATGGAGTAGGTTGCTAAGAGGCCCAATGACATTGTGAGTTTTAGCCAAGAAACTGGCTACTTTTCTTTGGGGTCTTTTTATCCTAACTGCCTAGCCAATTCCTACCTCCTATTCTT